GATTGTCGTCATTTATCAAAGCACAAGTAATGACTTTCAGGTGTCTTCAAGGAACATGAAGTTATAAAGACAGTTCAGCAGAATTTCATGCAGGCACGTTTCCAAATGGATCAATGAAAGTTTTGCTGATCCAGCAGTGGCAGAATTATACCAGTGTGATGCAGAACAGCAGTCACCATAATGATCATTGACTGCTGCGAATGGCCTAGGCTCTGTACTTTACCCTGGGGACACAGACCCAATACCCTCGATTTAAGATACTGTAGAAACTGAGACAGTAAAATGACTTGACCAAACTCCCACAGTCTTGACTGTATGGAGAAAAGATTCAAACTCGAGTCCATTAAATAGTTTTGGGTTTCCTCACCATATTTTACCGATATACTTTGATGTCCATTTCCTTAGTAATTAGGTAATGTTATTCTCAAGGAACTTGAATATTGTGAAATGTCCTCAGATGGTATGAATCCATGGATTTATATTTAACAAAACAATGTGTTTTTATGATTACAACATACGGTGAACATATGAAATCTCTTATTGTCAGACATTGAAACAGACCAGGCAGTGATCAATCTGAGTTTTTCTGAGTTGGAACTCAGTGATGGGCAGAAACTCAGGACCCGCTTAGGTGAGGCATTCTCTCCTCCTTATTCTATATTTTCTAATGCATATTGGCCCAGTGCCTTAATATTTATAAATATAAGTCCTTTAACATATTTGCATAGTTAAAATTCATTAACCCAATTTTACAGATGAGCAAACTGAGATTCAAAGAGTCTAAGCAATTCTCAGGATTACACAGTAAACATTATCAGCACGTTCCAATTTACAGCTGCTAACCTAACAATTTAAAGATTTTACTTTAACATAGTAGTTTGTAACACTAAATTTACTTTAACATAGTAGTTTGTAACACTAAATTTACTTTAACATAGTAGTTTGTAACACTAAATACTTCTATGCCACCATCGCCTTAATATTTTGTAAATTATTTTGGCTCTTTTTACCCTGTCCATTAAATTCACACCTAAACCTTTGATGAAATGTGGCTAGATTCTTTAATAAAATGTGTGCTTTGTTTGTGAAATATGCATTGAAAATTTAAAAAGAAATATTGGAAATGTGGAAGAACAGAGCCACCTCTAACACAGTCACGGAGTAAAGTCCTCTATATTTTCGTGGTACCAGCCGAAGATAAGCACTGCTAATCTAGGTCAGAAGCATCTGGTCTACGAGATAAACATCACACTACAGCTGGAACCTCAACCACAGACACTGAAATTACTGTTTTAGCTGTTTTTCTTCCTGCTTTCTTGAGAAAGCAGTTACTTCCTAAATCAAGCACTGAAAATCATTCTGTGAAGATGCAGTACCGAATGTAATAAATTGAGGGGACAATCCCAAATGTTCCCAGCTCTCTTTAACTTGCCTTTCAGGATTTAGCATATTTTAATTCTTTTTTTTTTTTTTTTTTTTTGACAGGCAGAGTTAGACAGTGAGAGAGAGAGATAGAGAGAATGGTCTTCCTTCTGTTGCTTCACCCCCCAAATGGCCGCCACAGCCGGCGATCCGAAGCCAGGAGCCAGGTGCTTCCTCCTGGTCTCCCATGCGGGTGCAGGGCCCAAGCACTTGGGCCATCCTCCACTGCACTCCCGGGCCACAGCAGAGAACTGGACTGGAAGAGGAGCAACCAGGACAGAATCCAGCACCCCACCCGGGACTAGAACCGGGGGTGCCGGCGCCGTAGGCGGAAGATTAGCCAAGTGAGCCGGCCTCGCATATTTTAATTCTATGAAGGCTTTTAAGTAGCCCATTTCTTGATTTAACCAGTTCTACCTCATGCTCTTCATTCACACTTAAGGACTGAGGCAAGTAGTCTGGGAGTTAGTAGACTAGTGCTTTGGTCCATTCTACAGATTGAGTCCTGTATTGTGAGCTGGTAGATAATGCCTTTTGCAGGACACATTCAATAGTCTTTGAATGAATTATCAGAACCCTCATTTATTCTGAAAGCAGTTACCTAGCCTATTAAACAAAAATCTCTTTCCAAACTATTCTCATGAGATTGTCCACCAATCTATATGTTAATATTTAAAGCTGTTCATCAGTGCGAATTCATGAACTTTTCACGCTCTTGAATCTTCTTAAACATTTCTAACTACAGGTCCAGCATTACAAATCTAGGTTGTGTTGCTCTTTAAAGGAATACTATATTTCTTTGGAGAAGATTCCTTAGTTTGACTTATGTAAAACCTCTGAATCTTTCTTACTCTACCATCTCAGCTACCCATTGGAAGCAATGCTATTTTTCTTTGGTTCTGCACATGGATGAGACAATTTCAGGAAAATCTCTAAACTGACTTCTTAATTACTTGAAAAATACAAAAATCAATATTTATCATTTTGCATCTTCTTTGGACATTATTGGGTATCTCTTGGCTAAAAACGGTCTATCTATAAATCAGTGAGGACAAAATCTTTGGCCATTAGCAAAAAACTAACTCATTCTGGTTCTTTCAATAATAACAGATTCATTGTATAGAACCCAATTGGTAACAATCTTAAGGACCCAGGTACAGATCTTCTTTCTGTAACCTTCTAACAGTCACCTTAGTTTTTCAACATTAAACAGGAAGAATATAGTCATTTAGCCAACCATCTACAAATAGCCAATGCTTGCCTACCTAAAGACTATTCAGTTTGTCCTTGCACTTGCTATCAACATAAAGGTCCCCTTCACCTCACTTACTTTTTATACATTTGTCTTCTGTGGAAGAAGCTACATATCACCCATCTAGACAAAGATGGTATCTTTCCATGCTGGTCTAGAATCTTACTAGTTCTCACTAGTGAATTAGCAACTGGGGTACACATAGGGGATGTATTGGAATTGCTAAATAATTCCCCAGTATCTGTCTCAGTATTTATCATAGTTCAGGTTGCACAAGTGGAGAAGCTCGGTGGGGGTGGGAGTGATTATAAAGTCATGCACATCTAAACATAATACAGATTACTAAATTGGAAATGAAAGAATTACAAATTCCACATTTTTTTTAACCTGGATTATTTGTCTTAGTAGGAACAGAAATGGGGAAAATCTGAAAGACAGGACAATGTTTTGTAAAGAAAACTGACTGCTGTAACACAACTGAAAGTACAATAATGTGCTTAAGAATTAAACTAATTTAAGGATTGAGGCAGGATTCCCAAGGATTACATATTAATAGTGCTGTTTTTAATCTAGAAGATTAAAAATAAAAATTGAGGCAGGACTCTGAAAGATTCTTTGCAGTTGAAAAATGTGTTTTGAATAATTCTCTTAAATGACTTAGTAGTGAATAAACTGAAGAAACACACTAAATGCATACCTCCTTTGAATCACATACTTTACATATTCTCATTTCCTTACCAAACAAGCCCAGAGGTAAGAAAAAAAATGCATTTTGCCCCAGAAGCAGTTCAGGTTAGGAAGGCAAAATAACCAGCCCTAGGTACATAACTCACACTCCCTCATCTACCCTGAACCATTTCTGTGACTCCCCAGTCTCCTCAATGCATGGATGCTAAATTGAATGTCAGTGTCCTTATAACATGAGTTAAGATTCAATGTTAACTTTGAATTTCTGGATATGTGACTAACCATGAATCAGTCGATAATATTATTTGACCACCTAAAACAGACAAGTAATGGGCACTTGGAATTCTGAAGGGACATAATACCAGTTCCTGAGATGGATAGCATCTGATGGAGAAGATAGAATGTGCACAACCCATAGAAAAATATACACACCTACAGATGGAAGGATACAACCAGGATCTCTGGCATGCAACAAAAGGAGGAGGAAGTGATCAGTGATGAGAAGTTCTGCAGCATTTAGACACGATTGTGACAGACTTAATGAACTGAGCATCACTTACTCCCCATTCCAGCCTAAATCTGTTGCCACCTCAATTTTACTGGACAGGCAGAAAGTGGCCTTGGTTTCCACACTTGGTAGATGGTGGAGCTGGCCTTTGAACTGAAGCTGTAACAGAGTTGCCACTCACCTTTTAAGCTGGTGAGACTGCCTGAAAATGTGGGCTATGTTTATATAGCCAGGGACATAATGATTGTGATTCTCTAGTCCTTGACAAATTTTACATGCGAAATCACTCCCTTGTGGTTCTTAAAGAGCAAGTTCATGAATTTATTCAACAAATATTTCTTGAATACCTACAATATGCCATGCACTGTTCATGCTGGGGTTAGAAGAGTGAACAGGACAAAGACCCCACTTTGTAGTATGCACAGTTCCAGGCAACCCATGCATGTTAACATTACAGCAATGCATTTTAGTTTTGGAAATAATACATGTTTCCATTAGCTTGAATAAATGATTTATCAATGAATATAACATCATTCTACCATAAACTAAAGGGGAGGGTTTTAGGGGATTCCTTCTTAGAAGCAGAGAAGCAGTTTAAACACCTTACTATTTCAGAATGACTTTCTGAATGAAGCCTTAAACCATATATCTTTGTAGTACCTTTTCCTAATATGGCGCCACTCTTGTCCATTTGGGAACAGTTCCCCCCCCACAGCCCAGGGTTGCTTGTTACACATATCCCTCAGGGTTCTCTCTCCAGTATGTTCTTAGTAATTAGAATTTGTAATAACGTGGGGGTACATACAATACTCACTGTATACTAAAGAAATTCACCCCACCATTTTTATCCCATCCCCAAACTACCATCAATCACTTGTCTAATTCAAGCGACTTTATAAAGCTTAAACATAGGCGTCCTGACCGTAAAGGCCCGCCTGTAAGAACAGTCCAGCTGCAGCCCATGGAAATGAACGAACAGTTTAGAGACCTGCGAAGCGCAGCTCTGTGTTTCCTTCCCCTGTGTGTGCGTGTCCGTCCTCACCTGCTCCCTGGAGTGGAGCGCCTGAGCGGTGTCCTGCTCCCAGAACGGCCCCCTCGAGCTCCTGCTCAAGCGTGCAGGCAGGGACCCCCATGGCTTCACCGAAAGGGCTCTTCACACACATGCAGCTCCACGGGCACTTGCAGCCCCACGCGCACGCGGGGGCTCCCATGTATGGGTGTGTTTTGCATGCATTTGCGGGGAGCCGCCTTGGACTCCCTCTCCATTCAGTTCACCCAGAAGGGAATCCCTACAGCTCCCTGCGAGAGGAGGCGGCTGGCCCCATCCCCTTCCCCTCTGCCTGGTCCCGCTGGGGCCCAAGAATCTGCAATGCCTCCTCTCACATAAAGGGAATCTGTGAAGATGAGACAGAGAATAGCACAGGGAACGAGGACAGAGCCCTTGTGCAGGAGATGACGCCCTGGGAGCCGCGCAGCTAGGATTTCCGTTTCCCTGTATAAAGCCCCGGGAGGCAAAGCAAGTCCGAATTTAGATGCCCTGAGAAGGATTATTTTTCCAGTTGCGCCTGGGAACCACCGCTTGGCTCGTGCCCCGCTCAGGGTTCAGGGAAGCCAAGGAGGGCCCCCGGGCGCACGGACAGCCACGCGCCGCATCCCGCACTTCGCGCTCGCCCTGGTGGCGTTTGCGCTCTCAAGACACGGCCCCGCACCATCTTCTTAGGCGCTGTGCGGGTTTCTTCAACCGCCCAGCTGGTGCTTCGGGAGGGAGTTTCTAGAAGCTCCATCTCTACTGCCTCCCCTCCCCTGTTGCTTGGTTTTTACCCCCACGCCGGGAGCTAAGCCGGCTCCACAGCGTCCGCCCTCCGAGGGGTACAGGTGCCGCCGTCCCGCCCTCTGCCGCCTGGTCCGCCAACGCCGCCTCCTCCGGGCTGGCCTGGGGGCTTGACCCAAAGCCGCTGCCTCGCGAATGGTCTCGTGCCAGAGCGCAGCGCCCGCCGCCCGTCGCCGGGGACTCCCCGCCCTTCCGCGCGACCCCGCGCAGGAGCGGGCGGTGCTGACGGCGGGCAGGGGGCGGGCAGGGGAGCGGGGGCTCGTTCGGGGGTAACCGCCTCCTCTGCAGCCTGCCCGCGCCTCCGAAGCCGGACCTGCCTCCGCCTCTTCCTCCAGCGGCTCCATCCTCCGCCAGCGCCGCGTCCTCCCGCCACCCGCGCCGGCGGCCTCGGCGCAGCGGGGAGGGGGCCCGGCGCGGCGGCCGCCCCTCGGCTCAGCCCGGGCGGCGCGCCTGCCCTGCTGCCCGCGGCGCTCACCAGCAGCATGCTCTATTTCCAGATGGTGATCATGGCAGGGACGGTGATGCTGGCATACTACTTCGAGTACACGGACACGTTCACCGTGAACGTGCAGGGCTTCTTCTGCCACGACAGCGCCTACCGCAAGCCCTACCCGGGCCCGGAGGACCGCAGCGCCGTGCCCCCCGTGCTGCTCTACTCGCTGGCCGCCGGCGTCCCTGTGCTCGTGGTAAGCCGGGGGCTGAGGGGAGGCGCCCTCGCCGCCTGCTCCCATCTGTCGCGTTCGCCTTCAGGGTGAAGGCCCCGGGAAGGGTCGGGGCGCGGTCGCCCTTGCCTTCTAAGTTCCTTCAAGTTGCTGGCCGCCCCTGCCCCAGAGGACTTTTCTTCTAGGATGCGTGAGGGGTGGGTGCGAAGGAAGCCCCCATCTCTGCCCACCCGCCGCCCCCGCACCAATTGCGGTGGCTGCAGTGTCGGGTGCCGCTGGGAGTGGATGGAAGAGAAGGATGGGACCGGTGGAGGTCGGGGCTGGGGAGGAGGTGAGCCCTAGGGGTGGGTCTCGTGGCCTTGCTTCACTGGCCACCTCGTTTCTCTCTCTGCACTGCAAGATGGGCAGCGGCCGCGGGTGACCAGAGAGGGGTCAGGCTCTGGGGTGTGTCCAGGCTCCTCGTCCTATGCTACCACCTCCTTCCCTTTGCGATGAGCATGCCAGGGGGACTAAGCTGACCAGGGAACAAGTATCAGGGAAAGAAAAGACTTTGAGGTTATCTCTAAACGAAGAGGCCTCGGCAACATTGCTTTGCTGGAAAGCAGGAGCTGTGCCTGAATTACGAGACAGATTTGTTGAAGGGCTGCTCCGCTCACTGGGCAGCTGAAGTGTTTCCTCTCTGAACAGCCCCGAGAATGCCTTGAGTGTCTGAGCTGGGAGAGAGGTGGAGACAGAGATGGAGATGGAGAGGATACGGATAGCACACATATACACGCATGTCCAGGTGTGAGTACCGGGCTAATAGTCACACCACTGACATCTGTGAATGAGACATCTGTAAGAGAATGAGTGGTATTTCTTTAGCAGACCTGGGACTCCAGGGTTCCACTATCTGGACAAAGTATTGGGCATTCCCCTTCTCTGATCCAGCTGTCTCTCTCAATAGATGACACACAGGACGTTAGAAAAGGAAAGCGGAAAGCAAAGTTTTGTTTTCAATCGTTGACTGCTCAAGTTGAATAAGAAATGTGAAGAGCATCTGCTGTATCCACTAGGTTTTGGTATTGATCTTTTGTTTGGTTTTCGAGGAAATGATTTAATTCCAAAATTAACCAAAAGTTCCCAAGAAACAAAATGAAATTTTATGAGCAAACCAAGGAACTTCTTGATAACTTCAAGGTAACTTTGTTTATCACATGTATTGCAATAGTCGACTTCACCTTCAGATGGCTGAATAACGATTTGAAATGTGTTCAGCCTTGCCCAAGAAAATGCTTTGTTTTGTTTTTTAATACTGTTATTTTCCAAAAAGTGTGTCAAAAAACACCCCAATCCGGCATCCTGTCTGTTCTCTTTCCTCCATTGGAGAAGCTGGCAGAGGAAAAAATTGGTCAGAATCTTCGGCCTCTTTTTCTTTCTGCAAATGCTGGGTTTCCAGGCACATGATTTCCAGGGGGCTAGATGGAGAAAGCCTGTCCCTTTCAGGTCATTGGTTTGGTCGCATCCAGAATCCATAGTGGCTGTAACTCTCCCATCAGTAATTGCCATCCTGTGACTTGTTCCAATGAAATGGCTCTTCTCAGATCCTTATCAATCTATCCATGGTGGCAGGTGCCAACTGGAGACAAGAATAAATTGACCCAAGGGTTTAATTATTCTGTAGTTAGGGAAAACCTAGGAGGGAAAGGGGGGAATTAATTGGTCACTACTGAATGACTGAATGCCAGCTCTGTGCTGGGCACTGCATAGTCACAGAGCGGTGCTTCCAGGGGATATTATCTTGGGTTAACCTTTGCGAAAGCTGAAGTTCAGAAAATAGGTTGGAAACATCTGACAACCAAGGAGGTAGGGAAGGTGTTTGTGTGCCTATCGGACTGATGCCAAATGTCATCTGATGCCATTGCTTCCAAATGGCATGTTTTCTCAAAGAAGATGGGAAATGGCTGCTGGAGCAGTCATCTAGAATATAGGAGGATACATTTTTGAAAGGAGTGTGTGCAACTTGATTTCCGTGTTTGACCATCAGTTCCTTATGTAGGAGAGAATGGATTTGTGAGTCAGCTTGAAGAGAAGGAAGTGTTGGGGTTTGTAAGGAGAGCAGTGTTGCTGTTTGTTTTTCCTTCTGCTCCTAGGTGTAATACAGAGTGAGGAGCCGCTCTTCCCTGTTCCTCACAAGAGCACTGGCTTAGCATACTCACTGTGCATAAAAATGCTATCAATAATGATATTAACAGTACTCATCATTTGCTGAGATATCACTTTACTTTGGATACTCCAGTAGGCTTCCTACATACCTTATACCCACATAATTTTTGCATTGTCTCTGAAAGCAACTATTATTCTTATCATCCAACACTTGGGAAAATTGAAGCTCAGAAAGATTAAATAACTTGCTCAAAAATCAAGGTTAAAAATGGTATACTCAGACTTTTTACTCTAGTTATCAAACTCCCAATCCTGTGTGCTTTTTCCATTAGAGTATACACATACAATTTACTTATCCATCTTTATTCTAGAAGAATGCCTCAGTCTTCCCATTATCTCTTAAAATTCTTTCTTTTTAAAAAAAATATATATTCATTTACTCGAAAGGCAGACACACATGCACACAGAGAGAGAGAGAGAGAACTTTCATCTGCTAGTTTATTCTCCAAATGCCTGCAGTAACCAGAGCTAGCTCAGGCTGAAACCAGGCACCAGAAACTACATCTGGATCTCCCACTTTGGTGACAAAAACCCAAGTACTCAAACCGTCATTTGCTTCCTTCTGGGTGTATTAGCAAGGAGTTGCATTGAAAGCAGAATAACTGAGATTCGAACCAGACACTCTGTTGTGAGATATGCAATGCAATGCAATGCCTGCCCCTGTGGTGATATAGTTTATACAGTAGTTATAAAGCTAGGAACATTATATGGAGTTCTTACTTTCTAAACTCATTCTAATTCTTGAGAGTAGTTTGGAAAAGTGACTCTCCTCACTACCTAAGTCTTTAAATTTACTGCAGACTTGCATCAATTTAATTCTCTTAAGAATCTAAGATAAGGTGTCTCTTATATTTTATCACTTTTATAAAGCGTGCACTTGGAGACTAGGTTTGGAGTCTAAGGGTTTGGATTCAGATGTAAGGTATACCCTGGTGCTCTGTGAGGAGCTGGAAACTGCACTGGCTAGGAACTGTAATGTGTCCTCCGTAAGCCTGAAGTCCTTAAATCACAGGATTTGACTGTTACATTAGTTACAATGTGTAAAATGTCATCCTTGGTCTATTGGTGATACTCCATAAAGGTAACTGCATCGTGAACATTATTGTTATCAGTAAAACAGCAATCCAGTGAGTGTTTATTGAATTCCTGTGTTCTAAGCACTCTCAGGCAGGATGCAGCTTATAAAGGCAACATACATAGCCACTGAGTCTGAGGAGTCTGTAGCTAAATTTGGGAAATTAGGCAAACACACCAAAGGTCATTTGATAATGATAAAGATAAATGGTATGCATATATGTATATCTGCGTATGCCACAGAGACCTGTGGTGGTTCAGAAGGGGACAAGATACTTTTGTTTGGAGGTGGGAGCTCTGGAAAGGCCTCATGGAGAAGATGGTGGCATTTCAGATGTGTCCTGAAGGAGAAGGCAACAGGGAATGTGAGATAGGACGTGATGGCTGCAGCTCCGTGCATAACCTCAGGGAGGCAGAAAATGCGGACCACAGTCTTCAGGCGATGACCAGCTTATCTCGTTTCTAGAAGCTATGTGTGCGGAAAATGTACAACTGCAGGCAAAGGCTGGACTTGCTGTGGTGAGCCCTGGAACATCGGGCTGAGGAGGTTTCTTAACCAGTTAGGACTCGAACAGTCTGATGGATGATGGTTTGGGACATTTTTTGATGAGTAGTGCATAGGGCTCTTCTGTTATCCAGATATCTATATTAGGCTATCTTAAAGTCTGTCTTCATTGTACCAGGTTAGTTTAGTTGTGTTTTCAGGAAAAAAAAAAACCAAACAAACAAACAAAAAACTTGGGGTTTATTTACATAGATGTTTCGTAAACACTTTTAAAACAAGCCCCATTTAATTTTTTTTAAATAAAGCATTGACCAAAGCACCACATAAAGCAGGGAGAGATATAAATTTAATTAGGATATTTGGCTTTCAGTGATTAAAACGACTGGCAGCGACAATGGTTTGCACTCCCAAAATTTGGATACAGTGGCCAACAGCAGCCCTTGTTCCTTAGATCTCTGAGCAACACAGATGGTATGAAGGAGACAAGCTAGAATCCATCTTTACAGAACTGAAATAAAAATAAAGGAAACAAGCACACAGCCAAGGTGGCCCCTGACATCAGCATGGAGGGTTTTCAGGTAGAAGCATATCTCTTACTCTTTGTCTGCATTCCCCGAAACCTTGCTGTGGACCTTGAGCCTCAGATATGACCGATTTAGCCATTGCTGCTATCCCAAGGGCGCTGGCCTCCCTTACTCCGATGGAGATAGATGAGCACAGAAAGGCATCTCATATTCAGAGTCCGATCATGTTGGATCAGAGTGCCTAAAGCTTACCCATAAAACCCTTCTCCCCAAACCTTGCCCTGGTGCTTCCTTCTATCTCCACCCCTGGAGTACCTTCCTGTGGTGTGGTGGAGGCAAACAAGTACAGACACAGTGTGTTAGGAGAGTGCGGATTCTTATCCGGGCTCTTCTCGGTTATTAGTTATGTGACCTTGAGCAAAACTTTCTTACTCATAAGCGGAGATAGGAGCTGGTGTTTAGCCTAGTGGTTTAGATATTGATGAAGATACCCATGTCCCACACCAGAGTATCTGCGTTCAATTCCTGGCTCCAGCTCCTGACTCCAGCTTCAAGTCATTGCAGACCACTTGGAGGCAAACTCAAGTAGTTGGGTTCTTTTCACCAGGGCAGGAAAACTAGATGGAGTTCTAAGCTCCTGACTCTGGCCAGGCCTAGCCTTGGCTGTTGCAGGCTTTTGGGGACTGAATCAACCTTTGAGATCTCCCTCCCCTCCC